ACGGGTCGCGAGTTCTGGGCCGTGTCTGGCATTCATCTATCTTTACGAAAGATTCTACTGAACAAGTATCACGTGAGAGGAATTTAGAAGAGAATATGAAAGAGAGAAAGGGAGAGAGATAGAAAGGGTTTGGTAGATAGGTTGAGAAATTTCGTTAGCTTTTAGCAAAAGACGACCCTTTGAGACTGATCGATATCGAATTGATAGGTTATGTATATATATCTTGAAGAGTATTATATTATCTTGAAATATTGTTTAACAATTTAATATAATTTAGATGTATATTAATATATATTATAGTTTAATATATTAGAGAGAGAGAAAAGTACGATTTAATTTATAATTAAATATAATAATTAATTTGATCGTAGTATGTAGTATTAGAATATTTTGATTACGAATATAATATTATATAATACCTTCATAAAATGTTATCTTAATTAATTTTAAAGTAAAAAAAGAACAAGAAAAAAATATAATCGATAGATTTTAAATGGGATTTAATAAGAAACAAGAAAAAATTACAAATCAATTAACTTTTATATTGTTAAACATTGTTAACGTTTCAATAAATATTGAAAGTATTGTAAAATTTTGTAATTATGCGTAATGCAATATATACTTATTTTTCAGTATATATTCTATTATAATATATTTCTTTTTTATAATCATTTTTTCTTGTAAAAGTACGGTAATAATAATAAACTGAAGTATCTTTTGCAAGACTTTATTTAATATTGATCGATCAAATAACTGATACCAAGAAAATTACATTACTCGATTATAGTTTATTGGAAACGTGTAAAATATAAACGTTGAGAAGTTAAGATACGATTTAATAGCAAATCAAAGTTTTTAACGACTCTACCTTTCTCTCTCTCTCTCTCTCTCTCTCATTTTTTTCTCTTTTTTTCTTTTTTAACTGAAATATATATAAATAAAAATACTACCATTACTTTTTACGAGATAACTCGAGGAATTGGTATATACCTGATTAAAGTCGTTTCGAAAAATTAACGATCTTTCAAGTGTATCTTTTAAAAAAAAAATCACGTTCCATTGTAAAATATATCCATCGTACGTAAACATATATATATATATATATATGCAGGGTGTCTCACGATATTTTCTCGCCAAAATTTTACCATCACATTTTATAATAGATATTATAAATAAAAAAATGTTGTACAAATAATATATGTTCTTAAAAGTTTCATTTCAAAGTTTCATCCGAAATGATGATAACGGATTTGGTGTTTCCTAACCTAACTTTTTTATCTGGAAGGATTAACCTCACAATTATTTTTTAACTGAATCCTAATAATTGTATCCAAGTATCGATAGACGTTTCATTATTATTATGTCAATATTTATACATCTAAACAAACGTAACGTCATATGATACCTATAGGGAAATTAGTTTAAACGATCCTAACCTCAAACTACGAATGAATCCAAAACAAACTAATCTATTTTTATTTTCCTTGAAACACACCATTATAATTAAACATTACAAAGATTCAATGTAAATTTGTAATACTTTTACACATACGATAAAATTTAACCGATAATAATAACCGAGACCACCCTGTATAATATTCTTCTTAAAGAGAAAAAATAGAAAAAAGGCGAAGAAAAAAAGAAGAAAAAATCGATTGGAAAACAATTTCGATTGAAAAGGAAACAAAACAAAACAAAAAGACAACGACAACGAAAGAAGAAGGAAAAAAATGAAGAACAAAAAATAATAATCAACAAAACAGGAGGAGGAGAGAAAAAAAAAAAAGAACAAAAAGAAAAAATTGAAATAATCTTGCAAGAAAATTTCGTTGCATCGTTATTCCTCACACCCGCGTTCCCATCCACCCACCTGCATCACTTCCACCCCCTTTTACTAACCCTTATCGAACGTGAACGTGTTAGGTTATTTCTCGTAGCTGAACCTCGTCCCTTTCTCCGTTCATCAACCGACCGAGCAACCAACCAACCAACCATTCCAGCCCTAACACGTCGAAGCCTTCCTTTTACATTATTCCAACGATGATTAATGAAGCTCGCGGACGGACGGTCGAGCAAAATTTCAGCCATGGGGGAATAAGGGGTGGGTGGTGGTGGGAGATAGGGGTGCTGAGGAAGAGGAGAAAGAGGACGAGTAGGTGAAAAGAGTGGTGGGGATTGGGATTGGGGATGAAGGAAGCTGTAGTGTTACACACATATATAGAGAAAGATACATGCAACACAGAATTGGGAAAGGAAGGAAGGAAGGAAGGAAGGAAGGAAGGAAATCGCTGGTGTGACGTGAAAGAGAAAGATAGATAGATAGATAGATAGATAGATAAATAGAGATAGAAATAGAACCAGAACAAGATACCTAGATCAACCCAGATGGACTCGGATCAAATTTGCGAGCAACAACGGGGTACCCCGTGTTACCTGTACACAATCCTGTGCCCGCCTATCCATCAAGTTTGGCGCCTCGTTCAGTGGCAACGATGAAAAAGATCTACGAGATGGACGAAGAGGGGGAACGACGAGATAGTATAGAACGAGAATGAAAAAGAATTTGGTAGAAGAGGAAGGATGAACTGACAGACAGGACGAAGTAGAATGGAAAAACCTGGGAATAACGGGGAAAAAGGGGGAACGGAAGTACGATGAGGAAGCGAGATGGGGGTATAGGAGTATCGATCGTTTGTGCAATCACGATTAAAAGTGGAAACGTAGGGGTAGACGTTTTAGCACGGTAAAAGAAAGAGAGAGTGAGAGAAAAGTAATAAAAAAAAAACAACAAAAAAACGAAAAGAAAAGAAAAGAAAGAAAGAAAGAAAGAAAGAAAGAGATGATGATGAAGGTTGGTAAAGAGATCGAGGAAAAGCAAGGGAGAAAGACACAGACAGTGGCGAGGAGGGTTTGTAGTAGAACGGTGAAGAGGGAAAGTGGAAGGGAAGTAGAAACGGAGGGGTGGAAGTGGAAGAGGAGACGGGGTTGATATTCCGTGCGGAGAGTTTATTGGGGAAAAGGCCGGCTCGTATAATTTGACTTGGTCGGCCAGGTCTGAATAATCGATATATACTACTACTACTACTACTACTACTACCACCAAACACCACCTACCCCAAACACCCACCCCAAACCAGCCCAACCCTTTCTCTTCATCATCCTTTTCCTCCCCTCCCACGTGCGAAAAACCTTCCTTCGTCTCTCGAAACTTTACCAACCCCCTTGCCTGATACTACTACCCCTTCCCCTCCCCCAATCACCCCCTTCTCAACCAAACCATACGCAAATACGTGAACACTAGCGCGCGTAACCAAGCTTCTTCCTAAACTTCATCTCGTTCCATCTCTTTCCATCCAACGCCCCGTTCCAGCTGCATCCCCAACACCGGAAACAGAGCCGAGCCTGATCGAGAGTTTAAATTGGGTGGAAATTATTCTCCTCCTTTTACCAACACTCTACCCACCCACCCACTCAATCCCAAACCTCCCCTTAACGGGATCTCCCACCCGTTATCGTGGCCAGCAACAGCAACAGCAGCAGAAGCAGCAGCAGCAACATTGGCAGGTTTGGCTACACACCTCTTCGAGTTCCGTAAAATGAACATTATTCATCAACACATACAAATACATACACGTGCATAGATATATACTGATGTCTGTGTATGTTCATAAATATATATATATATGGGAATGTGTGTGTGTGTATGTGTGTGATTGCTATACCGTACGTATGCGCACCTTCAGAAATAGGCAAATATCCATCTATCCTTCTACTGTCCACCTATCACTGTCTTTACGTATACGTGTACGTGTACGTGTATCAATATGTATGTATGTGTATTAATATGTGTGTGTCTCTCTCTCTGAACCCTTCTTCATTTGTTGGAGGAACGTTGAATGTAAGTATCTAGTATGTGGATGTATGTGGATTTGTGGTGTTTACGTGTGTATGTGTCAGGTATGTGTGAATATGTACGGTGAACCGAATTATGGACTGGAAGGATATGGAGATAGGTAAATACATTGCGCACCTGCATATTCTGTCCTTATTCAGTCGTACGAAAATCGGCTTCTCTCGTTCGTGTCATGCGTGCGTGAATATCAAGGGTTGGGTTGGGGGATTAGGGAGGCAAGGGGAATGAGGATTTAAGTAAATTAATATGTATTTTCTTGAATCACAGGTCCGAGGTTTCTTTCGGGACAATTTTGATTGAATTGGAATATTATGATTTTAGTTAGCGAGAGAGACGAGGATAATAGAGAAAATTATTTAAAGATAATTATATATGAGAAATCTGGTATAATTATTAGGGATATTAAATAAAATAATTTAATATATTATATTATAAGCATATATTAATGTGGATTTTCTTTGAATGAAGAGGATCGGTTTTCTTTGGCAAATTTTGATTGAATACTAAAATTTGATTATCGTAATGATGAGAAAATAATTATGAAAAGTAACGTGTTATAATAATGTTATATAAATAAATAAAATAATTAATTAGAAAATTGATATTTCAAAATGGATTCATATGTAAATTAATATAATTCATTTTTTCATTTTTCTTTTCTTTCATAAATTATCCTGGGAGAATAATTATTCTGATGAGAAAATAATTTTCCGCAAAAAATTGTGAATAAAAAAAAAAGCGTATATTAATAAATAAAAAAAGTATGTAATATATAAAATAAAATAAGATAAATAAACTGCTTTTTTTTTAGAGAAAAGAATAAAAAAAAATAAAATAAAAATTAGAATGTTATGACGATGAACAAAATCATTGAAATAATAATTGAGAAAATTATAAAAAAAAAAATTACTCTCATCTATTATTAATAAATAAAATAATAATAATAATTGTTTTGATAATGAAGCACACCTAATATGATAAAATATTAATTGCGTAATAAGAATAGAATTATTCATGACAATAAGAACATAATAAAAAATAAGAATAATGATATTATAGTTACGTGTAAAGGATATAAATTACTCACACTGAAGATTATTGTAAGACAAGGATTGTCGTCGCATTCTACCTTGGCTAGATGTTTTTCCATGACTAACACGACACCACATGTTCACTTGGATGTACGACCATAACTTCAAGAATAGAATAGCATACAGCATGCACACGTACATGGCACCAACTGTAACATCAAATAACAATAATGATATTAATGATATTAACAATATTATAAATTGTTATTTTATTTATCATTGAAAGTACCGAAATTACTTTACCAATGGTCAAATAATAATAATAATAATAATAATTCATATAATATCATATACCTTATAAAATTGTCCAAATGATTTGTCATATCTTTTCACATTGTGGACAGTATTTCATTTTAATTTTCGATCTCTACTCATGAGGTCTGCATAATATTAATAATTCCTATGACGTATGTACCATTGATTTCGTATATATATGTATGTATATGTATTTGACGTTACCATATTAATAATACATTCTCCAATGCATTCATGAGATACGTGAAATGTATACGAATCATTATTTTTTATCGACAATAAATACCATTATATTTCATTATGTTCCATTACTTCCGTTATCTTCAAAAGCCAACGCGCGAGTCATAAATATTTTCTATTATATTTCATTTAATCAAGAATTCTCATTTTATTTCTAATATTAACACCACAACCTGTGTTTATATATATTTTTTTTAAATGCTTTTATAGATGTGGTATATTGGAATTTAGAAAGCTTTTTACAAACGATTCTTATTAATGTAAAATGTTATCGTACATCAAAAAGGGAATCCCCTGTTTTTATGCTGCATCGGAAAATCCCAGCAGACGCTCATTAATTACTAGAAATCCCTAGATAAAACAACGCGCCATCTACTCTACATTGATGCATCGATTTAGCGCCAAATTTAAAACTATCCTAAATCGTATATCATCAAATTAAATTATTTAAATCCTAACAAACGAAATTTCATACAAATTAATACAATTAATTTGATCAGATAAAAACCATAACTGATATTAACAATACACAAAATAAATTTTATTGGATATTATAATATTTATCTCTAAAAAATATATCGACAACTATAAAATTAAACAATTAAAATAGAAAATAGAAAGAAATTCTATCGTCGTAATTTCATCAAGGTAACTTTCTTTTTAACTTCTTTTTTTATTTTTAACTATAAAGGAAAATATTTGTTTCCCCCCATTAGAGTAAAAAGTATTATACAAAGAGAATGAGGATAAGGATAAAGAGAAAAAGTAAAAGTAAAAGGAAAAGGACGAGAACGAGAACGAGAAAGGAAGTGGGATAGTAATGGTGGGGGAAAGAGTGAAGTTAGTGGGGTGGGGGGTTGGTTGTTGGGGCTTACTACAAGCAAGTAGGACTTAGCAACGAGAGGTGCTAATTAGAGGGATTCTTGAATTCCAACGCGAAGCATGTAGCTAAGCATTTCTCTACATGAAAGTCGTTTGGTTTGTGGTTCTTTTTCCACGAAAGAATGACGACAACGACAGACCGACAGACCGACACTATGGGGTGGTAAGGGGTTGGGGCAAGGGGCAAAGGGGCAAGGGGAAAGAGAGTGCGGGAAACGCCATCGTCTAAGTGAATTAAATTAATTAAAAAGAGAACTCTACTACTTGCGCTCGTTGTCGGCAAAAGAATTTTAATAGACACTGCTTTTTTAGTTTCCCACGAGTTCATTCGACTCTAGTTCATACTCTTTTTCTCTTTCTAATTTTTTTCTTTTTTCTTTTTTCTTTCTAGCTTTTTTTCTTTCCTTTCCAACCCCTTCCCTGCCGCACTACTTGTGCCATCAACCCCACCATCCCTCGTAGCTTCATTATATTCTTTCTTTCTCACTCTCTACAGCCCCCCTCCCCCGCATCCCAACCCCCTTCTTTCTGGTACTGTTTCTTTTTTCTTTCTTTTATTTCTTGCACCCTCTTATTCTCGTTTGAAGAAACAAGTAATTCGCTTTTTAACGAGATCGTAGGGAAAATAATATTTATAAGTGTTTAGGTTTAAGTGTTTGTAAGTGTGTATGTGTGTGTATGTGTTATTGTGTTTAATTGCAATAAAACATTACGATTGTGTGATACTTATTTTGAGAAGAATAATTACTTACTATATTGTTAGTTGTGTGAATAATTAGTTTAACCATTGTTTATAAGAATTTATGTATACGTAATGAGATTAAATATGTTCTATTATTGGATCATAATTTTTTTAACTTAAAAGATTAAATAATAATAATATTATTACGTATTAAATGAATTCAATAATAATTATTTACAGAAAATTCAAATTGAATACATCTTATTCGTGCTTACACGTTTACATGTACTTGTAGGACACATGCATGAATTCTACAAAACAGAAGTTCTTTAAATGATTAAAAAAGAAGAAAGAAATGTTTAATTAACAAAATGTGATAATGTATTCAAATTTATTTAAAAAAAAAAAAAAATCCAATACCTAAAATGCACAATATATCAATTAAATTAATTTTCAATAATCAAATATCAAAGGGGAGAACAACAATTTTTCTAATGTTTTTATTATTATCAGGTAAAGTTTGCGTGATTCTAAAGTGACGAAATCAAAAGATAACAAAACACCGCGAAAGGTGAGATCGTTGAATATCGTGACGCGGATCGTAGCATGACATTCGCTTTGTTATATTTTTCACACATACACACATAAAAATGAATTACCAATAACATTTTCCTAAACATTACTCCGAATACATAATGCTCGTTTCTTTAGAAACTAATCGCGAGATAAAAGAAAAATAAATCAACGATAAAAAAAAAAAAAAANCAAGCAACCAACACCACTACCACCCACCACCCACCCACCCTCCTCCTACTCCCATTCGTAGAAAAACATAACTAATGGTATGCATTATAAATTATGCTCGTTTCTTTAGAAACTAATCGCGAGATAAAAAAAAAAAAATCAACGATAAAAAAAAAAAAAAAAAGAATAAAACAAACTAAAGTAAAAAAAAAAGAACAAAGTAATCTCACGATAGAGAGAACAAGCAACCAACACCACTACCACCCACCACCCACCCACCCTCCTCCTACTCCCATTCGTAGAAAAACATAACTAATGGTATGCATTATAAATTATCCTTATCTAAATCTAAAACTAAAATATTAACTTGGGTTTAGGCCACACAATAATTCCATGCGATATTTTTCTAATCAAATAAAAATGATCAAGAAAAAGAAAAACCTTATATCATAATATATACTTATATTGACCTAACCTCAAAAAGTTAACACGTAATAATCGTACGAATGTGTAATAATGGTAGACGCCATTTTCTTGTCAGATATAATTGCAATTATGAAGTATAAGAAAAGGATGGAAAATGTTCACGAAACAAAGTCACGTTCCTCTCTCTCTCTCTCTTTCACATACATACACAAAAACTAAATCAGAAAATCACAAAATCCCAGTTACACTATTATAAAATATATTCAATTACCCCATTCCATTACTTCTTATTACTTTAAAATTGAAGAGATGTAATTGACGATAAAAAATTCTTTTCAATAAATATAACAATTACATTCCTTACTTTTACCATCACCAACTCATAACCCTCTGAATTATTCTATACCTCTCTCTCTCTCTCTCTCTCTCTTTAATGTTTCAAAACGAGCATCTTTCTCGTAAAACGATTTCTGACGAAACACACCGGCACAACCACTACCACCACCAACCAGGCTGCAGAACCGGAGAGAAACCGGAAACGCAAAAGAAAGAAAACGTTAAATGAGTCATATAAAACGTTTCGTTCAAGAAGCTCAGATTTTCTTCGTCATTCCCCCTTCCCCCCTGACGCAACCCCACCCATAACTCACTCACTCACTCACCATCTCTCTTTCTCTTTGTCATTCACTTTCTGTTCATTCCTAAGAATTTCTTCTTTGTGTCCGTAAGCATCGTTCCTTTTTAGCATCGAAGAAACACGAAGGGTACTTTCTCAATTTTCTTCCACCCGTTCCCCTTCCCTCAAAACGAACCCACCGCCGCTAAGCTTTCATTCTTAAACCCCCCCCTCACCCACCCAACGACCAAACTCTCTTGAACAACCCCCTCCCCACCCCCAAACTCTTATTCTGATTCCCATTGTCACTCGTTCAACAAGGATACTACTCCGTGCTACTACACCGATCCCCGGTCTTCCCCCATTTCCCCCAATTTCTTTCTTTTTTTTTCCTTTTTCTTGCTTCGTACCAACTCCCCACCCCAGCCCACTCCCTGTCCCATGATTTTTTCCCCTTACCATCCTTCCAAACCTTCTCTCCACTCTCGTCTTATTCTTTCCTTTTATTCTTTCTGGAATAAGGAAACGTCAAGGAGAATACTATCGCTACCACTACCAACACTATTACAAAATACTAAACACCAATTTTCATTTATTTTTTTATTTTTTCTTTACCCCGTATTCTTATCAAAGTTCTCTTCTTTTTAAATAATTATTCAACAACACCCCTCACCATGTCACATCACCAGCCAGCCTACAACACTCCCGGACTTAAACCTTTCTTGTACTACCACCCCTCACCCTCCCATAACCTCATCAAAACTGTTCAATCGTCACTACGGGCACAAGCAAACTGTGTATGCATTTTGATTAGGATTCTTTTTCTTAGCTTTTGTTTTTGTTTTATTTAATCAAAATATTGAAACATTAAACAGAAAAATTGTTCCCCGTCAAACGGATGGGTTGGTTGCTATGCAAAAAAAAAACATTCGATAAAATGAAAGCAACGTATTTAATTATTTTTTGTTTACTTTTGTTTATTCTAAATGATCTTATCATAATTAAAAAAAAACAAAAACGCACATAAGTGTTAATAATTGTTGTTTCGAATGTAAAAGAAGTAGAAGAAGAAAGAAAAAAAAGAGGAACAATTAATTAACCTAATTGGTCGATACTAAAGCCCCATTAATTCCAATTATTTGAAGAACCTTCGGAACAACCGTATCGAAACTCGCAATATTCGAGTAATCGAAATCACACTCACTCGATCGAGCATTATTATCACCAATCAAATCTTTCCCTTCTTTTTTCTCTCTCTCTCTCTCTCTCTCTCTCTCTTTCTTTCTTCAATTCGTACTCTATTG